AAGTACATTTCAAAGTTCTTTACTTTCACTTGAGTAAAGAAGTTTAGTCAGTACTTCTACTTTTACCAGAGTATTTCTGTACTTCTAGTTGAGTAAAGGATGTGTGTACTTTTGCCCTCTCTGACCGGAAGACAGTGACGTATTACTTTGATACATTAGAAAGTATGGATAAAGGTTGTTTCCATGTCATTCTCACCTGTAGCAGATGTAGAGGGTCCTCTGTGTTCTCCAGGTGCTTCAGCTCACTTCTTCTTTTCCGCACTTCATTAATTTCCTGCCCGAGACCTTCGATAAACTCCTCCTTCGTCCTCTCAGCCGCTTCGTGCTTCTGCTCGATCTCCTCCATGAGCAAAGACTGGTTACTCTCGATGACACCTATCACCCCGGTGACCACCTGAATGCTTGTTTGGATCTGCCGTTCTTTGTTTATCTGCAGATGTGCACAATTTGGTGTTAATTCATATGTAAAAGACTGCAAATGGAAGTCTGATTTTGGACTGGAACACAATTGCAAAGAGTTTGTTCTGCACTGAGAAGGACAGTTAGATTTTCTGACCGAAGGAGGCAGCACTGCTTCAGAAAATGTGTGTGAAACTACAAAACACCACATCAGAAGAAAGTTAAACCAGAGTTTATATCTGAGTTAGTGGCATGTGTGCTTTTCCACTTTTCCTGTTCCATTTTAAAGAACGAAAGGGAAGTCTCATTGGTAGTGATCATTGAACACACTTAATGTAAATAATATCCTACTTCAGAATTGTGTCTAAAGCCTGTCAATAGTGTTTTATTTGTATTTATTTTTTGTTCTCAGAGTATATATATATATATAGATTTTCTATCTTCACAGTCTACTGTATATTTTCTACTTTTTAATGCTGTTTTAATTCTATTTTGAGATGTTTAATTTCTAGTATTGTTTATTTCTACTTATGTGCAATGCCTTGTTTGTTTTAGTTACTAATCTACTGTAAGTGGGACATAAATGGCTGGAGTAAAGTTAATGGCAATCTATCGTCTATTCCTGCTAGGGGTGGGCGATATTGAAAAATATATTATCACGATATTTTTCAAGCAGTATCACGATAGACGATATATATCACGATATTTTTTCATGTCGGTTATTATGGTTATTTTTCAAGTTACTTAACAGTACAACCACCTACAAGGTAACAGAAACTAAAACAAAAAGGAGTAACAGACCAAAATAGCATTTCAAGCTAGTTTTATTCCTGCTATAAAATTCATACATTATGTCGTGTTATTCAATAATACACGTGAGTTCAACTGTCACAATTACGTATCCTTTTATTGGTAGCTCACATGCTCGTACAACCCTAGCTCACATGCTGGTACCATCACTTGTCCCCTGCCTATGACGTCACTGAACCGTGTCCATAGGGCTTCACTACTATTGGCTAACAAACACACACAGCACAATAACACCACACATTACATCGCTTTCAATGCTTTGTAATATTCTTGTTGTCTGGTTCCTACAACAAAAGTCAACTTCAGCTTCATTTTGCATTCTGAAATGCAAAATGCCAGAGTATCTACTGGAAGAAGGGGCTTCTGTTTCTTTATCCTTGAGCAGAAATAAGCGAAATGCAAAGAGACAACGATGACATCTCTTGTTAAAGTCAAAAAGGGACCTTCAACTTACATTCCTCAACTCTGCCGATGCGTTGATCTCCTCCAGCTTTCTGCTTCTTGCCTGGACCATCTGATTAAACTCTGCTTCCATCTTCTTCATCTGAGTCTGCAAAGGAATTCATGATCAAGAAAACGCTGTAAGGCAACCATCAGGATGAGGAAATGCATTTTGTTTTGAAGAAATGTTTTGTAATCTCAATGTACACTGGAAAAAAAAAGCTGTTCCAAAAACAAGTGAAAGAATAATGAAAACAAGTTGTTTTCACTTGAAATAAGTAAAAAAAGTCTGCCAGTAGAACAAGTGAAAATTAGCTTGGTCAGATTTATTGAAATAAGAAGTGATGTTTAGATAAATTACATTTTGTAATTAGCTCGGAGAACTCATTTTGAACTATATTTTTACCAGAATTAGGAAATGTTGTGTTACAATATAAGCCGCAAATGCTCAAAAGTGCTTGTTTTTTAATGTTAGTTTGTGATTTTCCAATAAATATGTTAAGTTTCATCTGAGATACAACTCAAAATAAGATTATTTGACTTAACAAGATGATGCATTGTCTAAAAACAAGACCCTATATCTCACTGCAGTGTCACTTCTGAAGTTATTATGTCTTAGTGTAAAGACACATTCTGACTAGATATTAGACAATATAGTTTTTGTAGTGTGTTCCTTTCCTCACCCTGACCCTCTTGCTCTCCTTCTCGATGGGGACGATCTCATGGTTCCTGTGGTCCCTCTCTCTACATTTCACACAAATAGGCGTCTGATCCCTCTTGCAGAACATGTCCAGGATCATGTTGTGAGTCCTGCAGAGGTTACTGGTGACGAAGGTGGCCGGATCCGTCAGTCTGTGCTTCATCAGCGGTGGATCCCTCAGGTGTGGCGTCAGGTGAATCTCACAGTAAGACGCCTGGCACACGAGGCAAGACTTAACCGCCATGATGTTGTTTCCTTGGCAGAAGTCACAGGAAACTTCTTCCGATTGTTGTCGTCTCAGCACCATCCTCTTCGGCGGGGCTGGCTTGTATTCAGGCTGGCCCTTTATAGACCTGTTGATTCAAAACAGATTTAGTTCAAGTCAAATTGGCTTAAGAGAGTATGTGTGATTATGCAAGCAGAGGTGGGAATTAGTGGAGTAAATACTTTGTTACTGTACTTAAGTAAATCTTTCTGGTATCACTACTTTACTCCACTACTTATTTTCAGACTACTTTCTACTTCTTACATGTTGAACACAAATACCTGTACTTTCTACTTCTTACATGTTGAACACAAATACCTGTACTTTCTACATTTTCCAAACAGGCTGGTTCCTTTAGTTTGAATGTGTGTTTGGTGGCGTGATCATTATTATTTAGAGTCATTGCGTGCCTATTGATTTGAACACGATCCGTGTATCCATCATTTCCTGGTCTTCTCTAAAGAAGAGGGACCAATGAAAACGTTGTCATGTTGCCGTTGTTCAGCATGGAAACATTCATTAGCTAACAATGACATTATTGTTCTATTAATATAAAGGGAGGTCAAGTACTCTTTAAAATAGCTGCTAGTTATGGGTACTTTTTACTGAAGTACATTTCAAAGTCTTTACTTTTACTTGAGTAAAGAAGTTTAGTCAGTACTTCTACCAGAGTATTTTTAAACACGAGTATCTGTACTTCTACTCGAGTAAAGGATGTGTGTACTTTTCCATCTATTCATAA